GAAAAAAAAACGGTTTCAGTAATGCATGTTCTTGCCTACTGTATGCGAAATAAACATGACAACACTAGCAAGCTATTACACTGTCTTCAGAGCACAAATTTTGGGACACTTTGTTGTCAAAGTTTTGATGAATTTTTTTTTCGACCTCCTCTAGTATCAATCGTCCTGTTGTTGATGAGGAAAATCCAATGGGGTTCAGATGTTGGTTTATTTTAGGAAAAGTTATAGGAAAATGAAAGGAGTGAATTTGTCTCATTTGCTTTTCCCACCTCCCTCCTATACAGAATTTAAGGTTCCACCCTTTAAATCCTGAACTGTGGCTTACTGAAGTTTCTTTGGTGTGGCTCCCAACAAAGCAAAATTTTTGAGTTGCTATTCTTTGAAGCCATATAGTCAAAGTGATGGATACCAAACAGAAGAAAAAAAAAAAAAAAAAGCCTAATAGATGCTCCAGATACTTGCTGTCGCAGACACAATGATCAAACATAGTTGAGAGCCTGGACAGAGAACTTCACACACGTAGCTTGAAGTTTAAAGAATACAGGCCATCCTAGTCCAAAGGAAATGTCCAGGGCTGTGGAACAACTTTAATGATATCACTTCTCTTTCTCCATACGTTGACCTTGTAGAACCTATGTATCTTCTAATATATGTGTTTTTTCTCATGGGAAAGATGCTGCATAGGCTCCTGTACAGTAGATGAGTAGAGTTGTGCAAGACTGAAACTGGAGGCCCAAGTTTATAGCTCTACTCTGATGCTAAACCTTTACACAAAGAGAGAGCTACAGCTTTACCTTGTCCACAGAAGAGGATAAGAGAGAGATGAGTGTCCGCAGCAGGAAAAAACAGGAATCTGTTGCCGGGTCTCAGCATAGCTTCGTGGTGCTGAACATTGGCCGCCACATTGCTAAGGGCAGCACAGCTGTAATACTGCAGAGAACCAAGAAAAAAGTAGAGAGAGAGGAGGTCACTGTGGTGACATGTTGAAGAGAATAAAAATAAATTGGAGAAATGCTCAGATTTAGATCTGATGAAAATAAAGTGCTTTTTCGTCTTAAGGGTGTTTTATGGGGTAGATCTGGTAACAGCCTAAGTGGGCTTCCTCCAGGAAAAGCAATGCAATCTGCTGCAGCTACAACAGCAGTCGTGCTGTGGCACTGCATGTTGTACAAACCCATCAGGACCCTGGGTATTTGGGAATGTACTCTGCTGCTGCAATGACACTGCTGCTGGCACCTGCATCTACTCTATTATATGTTTACATTGATTTACTCAGGTTGGATGCAGTCATTGCCCTAGCATGCCAAGAAATCATTTTCAAAGGATTTAAACATTAATGCTAGGGAGGATTATATATATGAGAGTATGTATTACTAGGCAGGTATAATTAGAAGAAACAGGTTGAACTGCAGAGAAGGAAGTTTTAAGATGAATCTCGGAGAAAGCTGATAATGCTGAAACAGTTTGCAGAAAGCAATTCCAGAGGCTCCATCCCTCCAGCCACTTAAAAGAAACCTGAATAGAGATAACAAAACCAATGGAGGAAACAATCCTGTACTACTCAGAGGACTGAATGAATCAACTAGCGGATTTTAAGGTTTACAACTCTGATTCACAGCTTTTCATCAGCATACTTTTGAACCACGACTGGCTCTCTGTTAATTGTGCAGAATCACAAAGAGGCGTCTGTGGTAGGCATAAAATAGGAAGGCTTCCCAGACGTTTACAATAAGAAGAAAAGAATCTTTGCAAGTTATGCCTTCTCAGAACGCTTAGTAAAATTGCTTAGAGCGGGAGATCAAAGTTAGGATGCAAAAAAACCCAGAGGAAGAGGCCTATCTGCAACTTGCCTGATGATCTGAAAGACACAAGAAGGTAACCGCGTAACAACTGCGTGCAAGCATTAGCGCGTGCTGCCAGGTGCGCTTCTGCGTCATAAGCTTTCTCCTGTGGAGCTAGACGAGTGTTTTGAACATACATTATCTGACTGAGCTGAGTTTCACCAAGATGCTCTCACATGTTTCCCCACTTCTCTAGAGAAACCTTCCCTCCTCTCCACCTTTTCATTTCTACATGCTGTGGTTTGTGCTCTCCTTACAGTCACACTGTTACTGTTTAAAAATCTGACCTGTTTGAGCCATACCTGCACTTCTGAGTCAGGAGATTCAAGCAGCAAGGTAAGAACGGGTAGGGCTCCTTCCTTGCATAGGACCTGTTGGATTTTCTCTGCCATTCAAAAACAAAAAAAGTGCTGTTAGTGTGTCTTCCCCCTTGCCGGCCTCTCATCTGGAGGCACCATTCAAAAGGGATATGCACAATCATTGGATTCTAGAGAGTGGTGAAGTTGTCCAAATACATGCCAATCAGTGTGACTGGAGAGTATATAATTTAGAGCTTGTGCAATATAGCAGTATGCAGACATTTTAGCAAAATGACTAGCAGGTTAACTGATCGATTAAGCCTTTGCTGGTTTTATGCTAAAGACTGTTCCGAGAATCTGAATTACTGGAGAAGCTGAAAAACCTCAGGTACGATATTCACAATGATTACTGTGTTAAAAAAAAAAAAAAAATCTTTTAAAAATTTTGAATAACAACAGATGTGTAATAGCCAACTGTAGAAGTTCTTGCCAACCATTCCCTTCCACCAGACAGAGATAAGAGACATTACTCGTGACTGTATCATTTAGCTGTGTGGGATAATGGTATCATCTAGATAGGTGAGATTTAACGCTGGTTTGTTTCGGAGTTAATGTATGGTAGTGCACATATTGCAGAGGACCAAATGCTGCTCTTGCTAAAGCTGTTGGCAGATATCCCAGAAGCCTTTAACGTGTGGCCCATAGTGGTTATATTTTGCATCTTCCAACATCAAGTTAGGGATACAAGTCAAATGTTCCTAGAGCTTGACCTTGTTGGATAAGCTTCTGAGATTGCTTCAAAGTACCACCAAATGTGCTGCTAACTTTTTAGACAAAGTTATTTCTTTAACAAATGATTTTTTTTTTTCTATTTCTTTGATGATTTAAGTGCTTGTACATTAGCCTCTTGGGGCTGAAAATCAAGCCTTTCTGTTTCGGCACTAGGCAAAAAAAGGGTCTGTGTTAGCTAAACAGAGGCCAAACTTAAATGACCAGCCTATGGTATCAACATGAATGCCATATGCAAAGGAAATAATTTGTTGCTCAGATACACTTTTATTCTTGCCTTAGCCCTTTTGAATTATTTTTCTATCAGTGAGAAATTTTCTTTCAGCAATTTTAGATAAACCATTAGTCAGAAAGTACCTGATTGTGTGAGGTTGAAAATAGCACCAACTGCGTTTTGTTGGACTCTAGGATCACAGGAATTGGCAAGAGACAGTAGGGGTGTAACTCCTTGCGCAGCGCCAATAGCCTCTCGGTTAGACTCTGGAGAAAAGAATCAGAGACGGAAAGAAAGAAACAAGACATTGCTATCTTACTGTGAGCCAGGAGCAGGACAACTAGCAAGACTAGATTTCTTTGGTGTTCACTTCTCTGATTTTTTGGTATATATCAAAATTTCTCTGCATGCTTGAAGGAACCTGTTAAAAATTCCAAGAGCTCAATGAGAAAGAAACTAACTCGTGACTTCTGGATTAGCCATAGATCACAGCTAGTTCAATGCTTTTGTTTTGTGACTGGGATGATTAAAATGAAAGGATCGTAAGTCCCCTTAAACAGGTTAGCAAGGTGTCATACTTGCCTTGTACCCCTGGTACGTCTGATCAAGCTATTCAGTGTGCCAACCAAAACCTACACAAATAACTGCAGGTAAGACTGAATTAATTTAGCAGGGTATATTCAGGGCCAATTTCTCTCTTCAAATGTGCCTGTGTCACTCCTTTGACAGCTACAAACAATGCAGAGGTTTCTAAAGACAGAATTTGACTTAGGCACTGGAATTTGAAAAGATGCTGCTTCTCTGAAGTGGTGATGCTTCCTTGCATGGCAGCGTATCAAGTTGTACAGTTGTATTCAACATCCTGGAGTACAAGGAGAATTCAAAAAAGATCTGCAGAGTCCCTTGAGACTCTTGGATGAAAATTTGGGGAAAAAAATAACTATAATACTTAAATAATGCTACAAAATTAACTATATACTATAAAATACTATATAACATTTATATACTGTGTATATAAGTACACTACCTATGATAAAGTTATACTGTGCTATGAAATGTGACACAATTTAGAAAAAAAATATCTGCTTTTAGTTCTACTCCTTTTCTTTTGGACTTACTGAAGGTAGCCTCAGCTGCACCGTATAGAAGGGAATCCTTCCGTTATGCTCTTCCTTACCCCTCTACCATGAGGCCATCAAAACATTTGCAACAAATAACCTGCTGCCACACTGAGACAGCTATGGTCCTCTCCCCTTTACTGTCTTATTTATAGCTATACTTTATCTGTATTTCCATCTTATAAGCATTCTAGTGGCGTAATTTTGAAAAAATAAGGTGTTGGTAGTGGTGTTCTTTGAAGTCAATGAGATTTAAATGGGAATTAGACCAATGGAGAATTCTCTTAATATCATAGTATTCTGCAGATTGTTTTATAAAAGGAAAAAGCAAGTCCATTGCCTACATCTTTCATTGTTTATACGAGCCAAACTGCCACTGAAGACCACAGGAGTTTTAGTTGGGTATTGCTTCATTTACGTACATTTCTAGACAGTTTAAACAATGGCTGGTCTCTGGAAGTTTGCCGAGAGAAACATGAAGCAGCAGAAAGCAAGAAATATGAAGGTATTTGGATGAGATCAACTTCTCAGGTGCCAACTCAAGAGTGAAGAGAACAAAGCCATTATTTCTATACCTGAAGCCTATCTATACTAGGGAACTGACACACACAGATAATCCAGGATATTTATTCAAGTATGGTTCAGCCAGTATCAGTTTAGTATGCCAGGATAAGTCCTTTTCTGCCTTCATATGAATATTTTATACTCAAGGAAATACCTTTTATTCTGGAAAAAAATACTCTAATTTTTGAGGAAAATAATTGTTCTGGGAAGAGTAATGTATTTAGAAACAGCTTTTCCATGTGGGAAGCTATTATTCTGGTGAAATATTCTGGTCAATTTTGTAGACAAGCCTTTCTCCAATCTAATCTGCCTGCATATTGTTCTTTTGTTTCCCTCAGCGGAAGCAGAAATTCTTTTGTGCGGCTCCAACTGATGGAAACCAGTCCGGTGTGATGTGAACTCTTATTAGCTGGGTAAAGAAGAGAGGTAAAAAGACTGAGAATTCAGATATTGCTGCTTCCTTCATTCTTTCACACAATGCACTCCATGAATGTTTGTGAATGTGGAAGGGAACGTCACGTTTGTGCAAAGGAATTACAAAACTTGGGCAAATTCTTTCTTCTGCTTTCCCTTCTAGGGCAGGGAAAGGGAATCCTATATCCTCTTGTGAGAGAGCTTCTCAGGGGTGTGTTTCCAGTCTGAAGATCTTCTGAAGGAAGCACTGGCCATGACAGAATATGAGCCATTGGGTGCTTCAAAGGTTTCTCTTCCTTAAAGAAACATAACTGGCTTGATTTGGAAAGGCTTCACATCCATGACAGCTCAAACAATTTTTCTGCCTGAGGGCTCAGCGGTGGTGGTCAACACTGGAAGCCTACGGTGGCAGGATGAGCTCTTACAGCCTGCTTCGGAGGGAGGTGGCGCATGGAGACCCAGGCACCCCCCTCCTGCCTGGGAAGGACTGGGGCACCTGTTCTCATCACAGGAGAGTGAAGAGACCACAAGAGGTACCCACACAATGGAAACCTCTGTGACCAAAATAAAAAATTATTATTTTTTTTCATTTTCGTTTGGGTCATTCACTAGCTGACAAGTTCTCCTCTGCAGTCTTTGTTAGTGCCCACAATAGTGGGTTTGCTGGATTTATTTTTACACGTCATTTCCCTTATCCTTCTCTCCATTCTCATTCTAGTTTTGGTCAGATAATGTGGCTGAACACTATCTGTTTTGTCAACTTATGACAGAATGGATGGAGATATCTATCTCACCAAGATGTGTAACTGTACTATCATCTCCGTAAGAGATGTGGCAGGCTAGATTATGTTTCTCTCCTGGACCACCTGTTTATCTAAGTAATGCAGTCCCTCCACTGGTGCCACTGGAACCACTGATGCCCCTTAGAGTGCTTTTAGAAGGGAACCACATATTCAGATGCTACTCTGAAGTGGGGAAATCAATAACATCTACTCAAGCTGGGTTTGAATAACTCACCTTGAAACCTGCATTTATAAATTCTTTCTTTCCACTCTCTGTCATTTGTGTGCTCTACACTCTGCCTCCTCCTTCTTTAGCTTAATGCAGATGTTCAGGCCTCCCTAAACCCTTGCTGTGAACATTTAGTTCTGTTCCTATGTACTTTAAGAAGAGTTCTTATCCCAGAAGTGATTACTTTCACCCACATATTGAAAAGCTGCAGGTGATTGCAGAAGTGCATGTGTCCTTTTGCTGTGCAGACAAATGCTGGTGTTGGAAAAAACTGACCTTCAAATCCTTTTCATCTGAATGGGTTTGTTTGCTGTTTTTATTTTTGGCTACCTATTGCAGCAGGTAAGTACCAGACAACCCAGCTTACGTATAACTTGCAGTCACATTGCTAAACAGCTCCACTCTGTAGACGGTCTTGCATGGTCATTGCAGCAGAATTAAGACACATTACCATTCTTGGATTTAGAATTTTAGTCACCTTAAAGCTACTTAAGAATCTTCTTAATTTGGTTGTGCTTCCATATTTATCTTTTTTAAACCACTCCGAAGCATGAATGGCTTACTTGAAGGACATGACTGAACAGAATACTTTTCTCAAGCAGACCCTTTAAGATATCAGAGTCTGTGAGTTAAAATTAAAATAAACTCTAGAGAATTGCCTCTTGCTTTAGTCTCATTGCTGTGGTAGCTAAATATAGTCTGAAAAAGAAATAAATGGATCCAGTCCTTCTAAATCCTAGTCTAACTGGGACAGAGATCCTCAACACTGATCACATCCCAGGCAGCAACCCAGCCTATGCGCTTGCTGGACTGCCTACTCTATGTTCAGCAGATGCTTCCTATCTAGTCTGAAAGCTCCTTGAGTGCTTAATTTGAACTACCTTGTGCTCAGAGGTACACTGGCACTTAAGAGTGTGCAAAGGCATTAGGTGACCACTCTCAACAGAGAATGAAGGTGAATCTGGAGTGGCTGAGGGTTCCCTA